TAGCACAGCATGCGGGCAAGTATTCACAATCTGCATGCAAGATGCACAGTGGTTGATGGCATGAAATCATGTCTTTTAATACACACTGGCTAGAAGAGCACCTTGGTGTCACATTGTGAAGTTTGGCTTTGGGGCTTAATTACACCAAGACGATGGAGCTCGTGTTGTGCATGGAAAGTTTGTTTGAGGAATGTCAATGAATTGAAAGTCAGAGCAACCATTCTGTTAAAACAATACTTAGCTCTTGCCCCATGTGGTTTTATTTGAGAGCTGAATGCTGATGTGAGTGAAGTGAAATAGGAGAATTCTGTGCTTTCCATCATTTTGTTTCATCTTTCCATATCTGCAGAAAAATAAAATTCAGAAGGGGCTTAAACTCTGCTACATGGGTAGGAACTATTTCCAATTAGTAAGATAAAATGTGACTGCTCTGCCAGTGCACAAAGCCTTCATCTGAATTGAAGTCTCTTGGGGATGAGAGCTGTGTAATGCACCAGGGGCACTTAAGCCTGAAATGTTGAAGAAGGTGGTAGTTCCAGAAAAATGAAGGGGGAGTAAAATAAAAAAATTTGCATTGATGGCTGTTCAACTTGAGAAGGAGAGAGGAATGTGTCAGGCCTTGCTGGCTCGCTCTTAGGGTCTGTCGGTATTTGAGCATCACTAGCATGCCTGAACAAAGAAACAACTCGTACTGGTCCCTCAGCTTTTTGGTGAGGTATAGATTTATTGGCATCTGAAGTGGGGAGGGAAAAACCAACAAAAGCACCAAAAGCTGTGGCTTTGGATGAGTCAGCATTTCCATTTGACGTGATCATCCAGAGATTTTTGTAACTCATTCAAAAAAAACCCCAAAATAAAAACAGCAACCTGGGTCTCAGCCTGAAATTAATTTGCTTTGCAGAAACAAGAGGTTTTGAGTTATTCAAGTGCAAATTTTTCTTGAAGACTATTGTATGTAAAGCGTTTTTTTTGCATTTGTTTATCTCCAAAACAGGTTCATTTTTTAAAATGAAAACTTGAGCCTTCGGTCCCTCCTGTGGACAAATAGCCTTACACAAGGTCTTGTTTCATTTTAGAAAAATGAATTGCTGCGCCGGTGGGGTAGTATTTGATTGCTTTAAAAGTTCCTGTCAGTGTTTTATTTTTGGTTTTGATTTTGTTTGTGGACTTGCTGTGCCTTTTGCCCGGCCGTATTTAGTCTGCATACTAAATGTTAGTCTACCCAAACACTTTGTGCACTTAGCTTTTATTCCTTTTTTTTCCTTTCTCTTTTTTCTTTCCTTTTTTTTTTCTTTTCTTTTTTTTTTTGTTTTGCTTTCACCCAAATGTATTTTAGACCGAGACAGACTTTGCTCCTATGGGCCGGATTTTAGTCCGTGCACTAAATTTTAGTCCGCAGACTAAAAATAATCCGCGGATTATTTACTAAATTGATTCCCTCACTGAGAACTACAGAGACTTTAAACTCCTGCTGAGATGTATGTGCAAAGGGCTTCACGGCTCACAAGTCCCACTGTCTGTCCATCCTCCCACCACGGAGCATCAGCCCAGCATTGCCTTGGCATCGGTGCCCCGTGGCATGGAAGTGCTGGCGTGGCCATTGCCGTGGGCAGCAGCTGCTCTGGTAGTTCTCGGTGGGTGAATTGGGCAGCTTTCCCGGGGGAACTTTGCTGAATGGGAAGAGCTAAAAGACCATAGAGGGCTTGGCTTTTATTTCTTAGGGTGTTATTCAAAAGGGAGGTGGGAGGGGACAAATTGAGGAGAAAAAAATTTCTTAAGTAACGGGTGCGACGGGTATGAGGGGGAATAAACCCGCAGTAGAGAGAAATTTAGTCCATACCCGCACTCCTGAGGTGGTACGTCCAGTTCCTGAAGAATCCTAAAGAGATAATGCCAGCAAACAAAATCCAGTGGAGGGGGAAGTCAATCCAAAATGGAGAATAATCCGCGGCGGCCTGAGGTACTCATAGTGCACACAAATTAAAAGTATCCAAATTTAAAGCATAGATCTCAGATTTTTACTTTGTCTTCTGCACAAATTACAAATTGCTAGGGATTTGGGGTTTTTTGAGAAAAAACCCAAAAACCATCCAAAAGTTTACATTGTGTGTCTGGGACAGATATACAAGTGGGATGCATCTTTGGAGAGAAAATAATCTGGCCACTTGGTTCTGTGGACATTTATATCCAGGACCGAGGACTGAAAATTCCTTATTATGGCAATTTCAATTACCCTTTTAGTTCAAGTTAGAGTTTTGATTTCAATTTTTTTTATTTTTTTAGTAAATGCACTGGCATTGGAACATAAATTTCATATAGAAATGTTTCTATACTATGCCTCACCATTGCACAATCGATTTTTTGGCATACACTGTGGTGAAGTTGGACTTGCTGCTATGGAGACTGATGTTTAAAGTTTCTAATTGTATAAACATTTACTATGTCCCCCACACCATGGATTTCTTATAATATTGGCTATATTTTTCCTTGCTGGACTATTCTCTTTTGGATTGACTCCCCCTGTTTGGATTATTTCACTGCATTATCATCTTTAGGACTCGTCAGGAACAGGACATTTCACCTCAGGAGTACGGGTATGTACTTAAATATTTTTTCAAATTACTAGGCCTAGCCTTGAAAAAAAAAGGAGACAAATGCTAGAAGTGGAATAATTGAGTTCAAACTACATCATTGAGGCAGCAGTCAGGTGAAAGCTGATAGAGATGAGGTGGGCACAGACCTGTAACTTGCTTCATGTGTTAGTCACCACTTGTTGCAGGGGAAGGCTATGTGAGCCCTCCTAGTAAATATATTTTTCCCCCCTTCCTGGTTTGAAGCAGTTAGGGTAGATTTTGGGAACTGCCTACCCCAAATGACTAATTCCAGATCCAAAAGCAGGCTGAGTAGTTTATAACAGGGTTTAGGAAACATGTTAGGGTTTCAAGGACTTGAAAATGAAGAGTTTGAGTGGACAAGCAAGTACTCCTTTTACATATGTCACATTTGTGACCGTCTGCCTACTAATTTTCACAATATAAGAGCTTGTCATCTTTGCCTTAAGGAAATAAAATAGTTTTTTTTTTTTTTTAAATATGTATAGTGACTTATATGTGAATTCACAATATAAGAGCTTGTCATCTTTGCCTTAAGGAAATAAAATAGTTTTCTTTTTAAAATCTGTATAGTGACTTATATGTGAGCTGTACTGAGGAGAAAAACACAGCTAAGAGTGAAGTACTAAAGTTGCAAGCTGTGATAAATCAAACTCGTTAAAATATTACTGTGAAGGTGCATGAGGGAGACCTCAGTAATTTTACCTCTCGTTAAATACAGAACAACTTCACTTCTGTGGGTTTACCTCAAGACATACACATTTGTGCTACTTACCGTGTGGAGGTGGGGGGAAGCCAGAAGACTTTTTTTTTTTTTAACTGGAGACAGTCTTGGATTTTGTGCTGGTCAGGCTGTGACTTGGGAGTAATGATTGCAATCCTCTGTGTGCTGTGGTCACAAACAGTGGGCACAAAGCAGCTTCTGCTGCCTTTTCAGTAACACCGTGGTCAGTACAGGTTCTCTGCCAGCAGCGTTCAGCTGAACCCTTTTTTTTTTGTCATTATAGGCCTCGTGTGAAAACTTTTGCACTTTGTTTTGCAATAACCTGGTAGTAGGAATAAAGTCAGATCTTCCTGTACGTGGCTCCCTGACTTCGCTAGTCAGGATTCCGTGCCACTCAGCACAGCACACACTGCAGCAAACCCAGTGCTGCTGGCCCAGTTGGGTACCAAGGGCAGGAATTTTCAGTCCCTGCAGAACTTGGCTTTTGTGTTGCATTCTCATTCAAGGGAGCATATATGCCTGGTTTAAAACCTCCTAAAGGAGTGCCTGTGCAAAGTTTTTTGTCTGTGATTAACTAGCATGTCACGCACTGATGATTTTTTAAATTTTTTTTTCCCTCTCCTTGGTGCTGTGTGGCTTGAGTTCACCTGCACTGCTGCAAAGGCATTTTGCATTATCTCAATTTTTACCAAAAATGCTGACATCAGAACTTAACACTTGCGCCCACCCTACTCCCTTTACCCCAGACTGCATTTTGCCTGCAGCATAGCAAGAGACAAGTGCTTGAGGAGGCCATCCAGGTCATGTACATGATTAACTCCTATTTTGCTTATAATGGAATGAGAAAGGAGTATGGAGACTGTGGTTAGCAGTCGATAGAATGATTCTTAGAGGCTTAAAACAAAGCTGCAGCATAGAACTGCTTTTTGTAATCACTCAAAGTGAAAATCTGTTAGACTAAAATAGTTGGGGTTTTTTGACACAGTTTTCAGCTGTCCTTATAAATACCAAATGTGCAGGAATTATCCCTATAAACTTACGGGAGTAGCTTGCCAGAATAAGGTCACAGAAGGAGTAACTTGCAAATTGGAGCTAGACATTTCCTGCACCCCACCCGTGCTTTCCTTGTTGTTCTCCAAAAGCTGAACAGCAGCCTCCATAGCAACAGTCTGACCTGCCTGCCTGCAACAGTCCGTGTTAGTAAGACTTCTTTCGCTAGCCAGAAGAACCCCAACCCAGAACCGTAGCGGGGCTGTATTATATTTTTACATTCAGTGAATCCTGCTCATTTTGAACCTCCTTCCCCACCTTCACTCCACCCCATATGCATGGCTGGTAGCACCTGTGTGTGTTTGTCATGATTTTTGAATGAGTTTCCCCTTCATTCTCAAAGTTGTTTTTCTGAGTGCGCTCTCATGAAGTCTCTTGCTGGCATTGCACCTTCACTCTAGTGCAAGGCGTTGCAATTAACCCTTTCTCAACCCCAGGAATGGATTTTCCCACACTTACTGCAGGACTTTGATTAGCACAAACCGCAAGTTTGTTCCAGCTTGCTGGGCAATGAGAGGTTTAATTGCTCTGACTTGCTTCTGGTCAACAAAGAGATGAGACCTAGATGCCAGACAACGTGTTTCTCCTTGCTTGTTTCCTTGTTGTCCCCGCAGGTCTTCCGGCCCCGCACTCCCCCCGAAGCGATTGCGCTATGTAGCCGCCTGCTGGAGTACACCCCCACGGCCCGCCTGACTCCCCTGGAGGCCTGCGCGCACTCTTTCTTCGATGAACTACGGGACCCAAACGTCAAGTTACCAAACGGGCGAGATAAACCTGCACTCTTCAATTTCACCACTCAAGGTAGCCTGAGAGCATTGAAGGATCCCTTCTGTAGGAGGAAGCAGTGGGATAAACGTTGGTTGTAGTGCAGATGTTATTCCCTTGGAAGTAAAAATCTCTGAGTAGTACTAAGTTTATTAAGTAGTTGCATAACCAGCTGTCCTTTTCAAAAGGAGATGAGAGAGTCTTGAAGTTACAGGATTTTCAGAGTCTTGGTTCCTCCAGTTCAGTTGTGCTGAGGTCCTGAGGGTGGTTGTTACTGGATTGCATCAGGAGGGATTACATGCTTACAGCATGTGTCTGCAGAGTATGAATATGGATAGGTCAGAGTCTGCAGCTGGGCTGATGGCTTTGTGTGAAATATCACAGTCAGTGGACCATGCAGGTTAGAATATTATTTGGAGATGGTCCTGCTGCTTCTTACCTGAAACACAGTAGCCAAGTAATAATGTGTGTTAGGTTTGTCAGGGAGTTTTGTGGTGTTGCTGCCCATTTTGGTTCTAGATGCAAGATAAATGCAGATGCTTTACTGTTCAGATTTTATATGCTGTACAGTTCATCTGGCATTACACTGACTCAGTCATTTAGAAACTGTAAAAATAAATGTACAACTAACCTTCTTATTTGAAGCTAGGCTAGTATCAGATTTTAAAACCATTCATCTATTTTTTTTCTACAGAAGTGAGAAACGCAAAACTGATATTACCCCCCAGAATAGTTTTGCCTGCCAAGACAGAACATGTGAGAAGTATGGCATACAAATATGTTTGTAATTAATTTTTGAGCACTTTTTCTGTTATTTTTCTTTAAGTGATTAGCTGCCAACTCTCACCCTTTGAGCAAGAATAGTTCTGTATGCATTTTCTGTTGAAAATTTAAAAAACACCTTTTGGCCCATTTAGCATCAATGTCATTTTTCAAATTCTTTAGTGCATGCCATGCCCCTCTGCCAAAATGTGAAACAGCTCTCTCCTTCCACTTGTGGAGCCTTTTTATTAAAAAAAAGGCCATTTATGAATCATAAACACATTAAAGTGGTCAAGTGTAGCACAAATAGCTTGTGCTTCCAGATCACTGTCCTCTGTGCTGATTTCTGTATCTGTTATTAGAAATTCAGTAGTTATGTTGCAAGTGCTTCCTTGTACTCCTGGGATGCCTTTTGTTTTGCCCCTCTAAGGCCATCTTCAGTAGCTAAAATAGTTTTGATCCCAGTATCTTAAATACAGCTTCACCCCTGGTTTTTTTTGAAGATTGATTAATTGTTTCATTATGACATTAAGATTGAACTTACCTACTGCATGAAAACAAGGTTTTTAAAGGGTTGGAAAGCTCTATAGTGAGTCAATTCAAAATGTTTTTCTTAGGGGAAAAACAGATATATATGTACTGGGAGTGTGTCCCTGGTTCCCTCAGATAGTGTAGAAGCTGCTGGATAAGCTACCCTAATGCTCAAGCAAGTTTAAAGCCCCTCTTTTGCCATTCTAAGGAGCTCATGTGCTCTCGCTCACAAAATGACTCCTAGGAATGGTAAGAGAAAACAGTTTATGTGGAGCAATTTCCTAAAGATAAAAAAAAAGCAAATTTCTTTCATCTACAGGTGCCAGTTTACCATGTATAAGGGGAAGGCAGGATACAGGCTGATCAGTAATGCATTTCCAAACAAGCTCTGTCAGAGCAGGTGACCAGTCAAACTCAAAAAAAACCCAAAAACCAGAGTTATTTTTAAATACCTCAGTACATTGCTTAGCACAGTGACTCGAAGAACTTTGTAACTGATAAATGTACACCAGTCTTGACTATGAACTCAAGATGTACAAGAAGCTTTTGGTCCTCCTATGACTACTGTTCAGTCCTGGTTCTGTGATCTTTACTGTGCAAGGTTCCATCAAACTGGCTGCTCCAGAGCAGAAATCCCAACTGGGAAACAGATCATTAGATGGATAATGAGTCATGTTAAGTCATCTGTGCTAATTTAAAAAGTAATGAAAGACAATTTTGTTTTAAATAGAATTTGTTTTCAACAGGCAATATTAAGTTCTAGAAGTGTTTGATTTGGCTGTATCCAGTTGTCTGAAACCCATGAAGTAGGAGCTGACTGCAGAGGGCTTGAAGGCAAAGCTGTTAGAAATAACAAGATAAATCTGACCATTAAGGCATTGGACTGATTTTCAAAAAGAAATCAAACATCATACCAAATCTGCTGACCTGGGCACTGATGATGCTCAGATAGAGTCCAGAAAAAGAGCAGTGAGGGTATATGGAAGATCAAGATCATGGTCTTTGGCAGCCAGCTGTAGTTGTGGGACATGTGGGTGTTTATCTTAGAGAATAAATCTGTTGAAGAGACCATTGTCTGGTCATTTGTAATGTCTTGCCTGTAAGTTTCTCTTAGTTTGTTTAAATTAGCATTGTATGCTAATTGGGTTTTGAAAAAGTTCTTTTGGCTAAGGAAGTAGCTCTACTAGCCCAGAGCTGCAATTCAGTTAGGCTTTTAGATCTGCAAGACAAAAAGCAATTTTTCTCTTAGAAGCCACATTTTCAAATAGTCTGTGAAATGACTGCTATTTTCCTGAACTACTTGTAACATGTCAGCAATTGTGCTACGTCACAAAGGTTAATGTCACTCCATGTTGGCCACTGAAGACTGTAAAATTCTTTCAGTGATTCAGCACTTGTAGGAATGGTTATCATGCTTCTCAAAGATAAATTGCTTTTTTATTTAAGGGGGAGTGCATTGGGATTTTTGTTTATATTTTAATGACCCTAGCCTGTGACCCCTTTTTTTAAAATTTAGATATAAATTTAAAATAGATATAGATATAGATAATAGATATAGATGTAGGAATGGTTATCATGCTTCTCAAAGATAAATTGCTTTTTTATTTAAGGGGGAGTGCATTGGGATTTTTGTTTATATTTTTTATGACCCTAGCCTGTGACTCCTTTTTCTTTTATTTAGATATATGTATATATGTATATGTTTATGTGTAGATATAATGGAAAGTTTGTTGTTGTGACCAAAAAAAAAAAAAACATGGTAGAAGAATAATTTTTTCAGGGAATTCTTGGGAGTGTTGATGTATCAAGTAAAATAATACTGAAAAAGAACACTGCACTGTTTCTCAATACCAGGCATTTAAGACAAAAAGCAATTTTTCTCTTAGAAGCCACATTTTCAAATAGTCTGTGAAATGACTGCTATTTTCCTGAACTACTTGTAACATGTCAGCAATTGTGCTACGTCACAAAGGTTAATGTCACTCCATGTTGGCCACTGAAGACTGTAAAATTCTTTCAGTGATTCAGCACTTGTAGGAATGGTTATCATGCTTCTCAAAGATAAATTGCTTTTTTATTTAAGGGGGAGTGCATTGGGATTTTTGTTTATATTTTTTATGACCCTAGCCTGTGACTCCTTTTTCTTTTATTTAGATATATGTATATATGTATATGTTTATGTGTAGATATAATGGAAAGTTTGTTGTTGTGACAAAAAAAAAACAACATGGTAGAAGAATAATTTTTCCAGGGAATTCTTGGGAGTGTTGATATATCAAGTAAAATAATACTGAAAAAGAACACTGCACTGTTTCTCAATACCAGGCATTTTCTTGTGTTTGGGGAATGAAGGTGATCTGGTCTTTTAGTAAAACTGGACATTTTCATTCCTGCTCCTTCTTGGAGATCTTAAGTAGCTGCAAATGGTATGATTAGATCAGCAGAAAGCCAAAGGTGTTCTCCCAGGCGATGTGGGTGGGAGTTGGGTCTCATAAATGAATTGTGATAGCTGCTCTGTTCACATCATGATACTGAAAACTTTTGTCTGGATTGCCTTGACCACAATAACTTCTTGCAGCTGTACTGGTTATAATTTACCCAGCCCTGAGTTGCACATTCGGTTTCCATAACCAGGCTACAGTTGAACACCCTGCCCAAATACTATGGGGGAAATCACTAAGGACAAAGATTTGCAGTATTTTGCAGACTGCAGATAATCACAGGTGAATCTTTCTCCTCAGTATTGCCATGTCTCATCCTTAGAGATGGGATAGGTGCAAAAATACATTTTAGCAAAAATTCAAACAAGTTCTCAAGCAAAGCCCCAGTTAAACTTCAACCAAAAGAGTCTACTTTACTTTGTTTATATCGCCTCTGAATTGGCTGCTCCTCTTAAGTTCAAGACTTTCAGAGTTTGCTGAATTTAAGAAAATTCATATCAAGAAAGATAGTGTGAGGTTTGAGAAGGGAACAGGATCAGTCTTCTAGTCTTTATGAAAGTTCCTTAAGGTAGCTTCAGAGAAATAGTTGCACCTGCTTTAAACACAACAAAAAGCCAATATTATTGCCACGATACAAAAGGAGATGTTCTGGCAACATCAGATGGAGGAGGAATGAAAAGGGGTCAAAGTGGCCTTGCAGGCCTGGTGTTCTGTCTGATCACCTGGTTCTTGGGCTACAGCAACACTGACAGTCTATAGCTGCACCTCAAGGCACCATGCAGCACCAGAAGGCAGCAAGTGTCATGGGGTGCCCTTGTTCTAGTTCTGCTTTTGTTTGGATCACAGCCCCCTGTTGTTTCCAGTAATGAGCAGAAAATATTGCAGGGGTGATAGAAACTTTCAAAAGAGCAACGTAAAGAGTAGGTTCCCAGTAATAAAAGGTTTGAGAAACAGATTCAGAAAAAAAATACTAAGGGAGCAACATTTTCTAGCACAAAGCAGCTAATGCTCAAGATAGTATTGAGGTATAGGTTTATAGTTGGTGTTCCACTTTGACACATAAGGATTCATGTTTCTTCAGTTTATTTTTCCATTTAAAGTGGAGATTCACAAATTTTGCATGACATTATGAATATATGAATTCTGAATTACACCCACTTGAATTGAAGATTTTGTATTTGTACAAGTGCTGTGACTACTGAGGCTTTCTAAAAGGACTAGCTAGGTCTGCTTAGACCTGAACGGAATATTACAAGATAGATTAGATGGGTTGCAGGTAGTGTAGCAACCTGCTTGCATTCATAAGTGCTGAAACACCATCTTAAAATGTGTAGTAATAAGAGGCTTGTAATCAGGGGAGTCTTCTGCCTCTTGCCCTGCCCTCCCAGCAGTAATGAAACTTAATGTAACAGCAGAGAAGAAAAAAAAAAAAAAAGCAAGTGGACTGCTGTCCCTTTAAGCCCTGAGTTTAAAGCTAGCATTAAAGAATAGCAATAGCCTCTTAAAAATGAGCCCAAATAATTTGAGACTGTCCAAAAGCGCCTCACTGAACCTATGCCACGATTTGGCTGGGCTTCTGTACAGCCTGTGCTATCTGGAGGTCTTGCGTAAAAAGCTGTCTATTCTCCTGTTCTCATTTCTCCTCCAGATGACCTCCTGGAGCTCCAAAAGTCAGCAGTCTCCTTCCGTGAGGTGACTGTTCACATCCTTTTTACCGGATGTTGCTTTCTCAGGAGACAGCCAGTCACTCCTGTTTCTGAAACAAACAGGACCTGTCTTGTCTCGGCTCAGTCCCACCTTCTGTGAGGCACTAGATTCTCTTGGAAGGGTGCCAGAAGATTGTCATTTGTTGGCAATGTGTTGCCCTTAATCCTCCCACAGTTGAGGCTGTAAGATGCCTATTTCTCATTCTGATACACACTGAAGCTATATTAGATTTGGAGCCTAAAAAGACATGACTATTTTTTCCCTGGTTAATGTCTTCAGACAGAATGATTGCATCATTTTGTTGTCCATTGAAATTGCCCAGCTGACCAATTCCCTTTGCCTTTCCCTGTCCTTCTAAAGGATACGTTACCTCTTCTTGGCCTCGCTCAAGGAGACTGCTGTGAGAGATTGGTCTTGGGTTCCTGGGTCCTTGAGAAAAAATGATGCTTGAGTGAGCCAAAGAACTAATCCCTGAAGCTCTTGGAGCAACTGTTGCAGCTGCTTGCTTGCTGAACCAGTGCCCAAAGCAGCACCACTGTTATCAGCCTTCTCCCTGGGACTGATTGCAGGTGGGCTTGTGAAGAAGGGGATCCTTCTCCAGTGCTCAGAAGGAAGCAGCATTATCAGGCCATTGACAAGGTACAGGCTTGGCTGGTTCTTTGCTCACTCCCAAGCCACTGTCTTTCTCTAGGAAATTACTCCTTTGCACCACTCTGTAGTTTTGGCAGTCTTGCTCTGGAGACTGCCTTGCTAAATATCACTGTGGTTTCCTCTCGCTGGTTGGCAAAGAAGAAAATGTAATGTGACCTTGGGCTGTAAGGGCATGTGTTTCACCTGAGGTGCCATTACAGGGGGAAACCCTAGGAGCTGATCCTGCATGTGGAGCACTTTGTGGATGATGAGCTAACTGTTTGTTCCACCTCCCCTCCAGAACTGTCAAGTAACCCATCTTTGGCTTCGATCCTCATCCCTGCTCATGCCCGGAACCAAGCAGCTGCTTCAACCCCTACAAATGCTACAGCGGCCTCAGGTGAGAACATGCAACTGCCTGCCTCCCTCCCCATCCTCCCTCCTGCTGCCCAGGCACCTTCCCTCTGCTGAGTCCCACAAGCCACCTCAGCCCACAAAGTGAACAGGGAGGAAGGGATTGTTGTAGTATCACTTGAACCTTGGTCTTGGTAGGTGGTCATTTACGTGCTACCTGTGATCACCAACACAAATCTCAACCAAGGCACTCAAACTTGTATTTGATTGCTTAATTCGTTGGTCCTTCTCATGATTGGTTTGCACCTCATGTCTCTGCTCTCAGCCATCCTGAAATTAACACTGAGTTGGTGAATGAGTTGTGATGCCTAGAAAGAAAAGAAGCAGCTAGCTCAGAGCATGTGGCCTCCATGTAGTGTGGATGATGAGAATTTTTCCCTAAGGGCATTGACATCTAAAAGTCTAGTTAGGGAGTTCAGTCAGCATGCTCACTGCCTCATCTTAGTAGTTGCAGTTGCTTCCTTACTGAGTTTGCTTGTGTCATCTTCAGGCACAAGGCAGATATTTTTGGGTTTTGGCCAGCACTGAGTGAATTTTTTATTTGCCTTCTGCTCTCTCAGATTTCTGTCAGAAACCTTTTAAAAGCTCACTGTTGGCCTTTAGCCACTTCATATTGTATTCTGTTTCCAGTGAAAGTTTTAACGCCTGGTAATACCAGTTGGGAGACTCCCAAAGAAACTCCCAGGTGCTGCAGGATGTGGCAGAGGTGATTCAGTATATGGCATTCTTCCTCTGAGTCAGCCCTGATTCAGCACACCAGAGGCTTTCTTGGGGCTTGGGCAACCAAAGGCAGGCTGCAGAACAGGTGTGCTGCCACATGTCCTGCATGCACATCAGCCCCAGCCCACAAGGGCTTGTCAGCCCTTTTGCAGTGCAGGACACTTCCTTAGCATAGGATAGCTGATGAGCAGGAGGCCTGCTTCAAAAGCTGCTCTTGAAATGTGCAGGAAAGCATTTGCTGGCTGATGTGCTGGACAGTTACCTGATACTGGATGCACTTGGTCCAGACAGTGCTGTACAGAGGGAATTTTCATATTCTGGGACAGATGCACTCAGGTTTGAAAGATAAGATTTCTCTCTGAAATTGTAGTAGCAGTAGATTAAAGGCACAACTTGTACCATTTATGTACTCTGAATTTAGGACAAAGCAAAACTGCTATTTTCAAATTAGCTATGTTTGTTTCATACACTTGGCAGTATTTTGCAAATAGTCATGTTCTCTGTTTGCCTCTTATGTGCATCTGTTGCTCAACAACAAGTGAGAAAACAGATAAAGTAGTAAAAGTGATTAAAGTACAAAATACAAACATGGAAAATTATTTTAAGCCTTTGTGAAATATATTGTTTCACCTAATATCCCTTTCATGCACTTTACGGAGTTCTCTCCACCAAGACACAAGTCTTGAGGAATTAATGGGGTTAAAAAAATCTGTTTTCACTTGGCACTTTTCAAGGGCTTGTATAGGAAGAAAATGCGTTAGTCCAAGTCCTAAATGTGAAGTATAAAAAAAAAAATTCCAAAAGCTCCAACCCGCCATATTATTGATGTCAACATTTTTAAAGCTTCTGTCTGCAAGCACTGCACTGAGTTGGGATATGTCCTCCTATTTGTGGTTCAAAACCAAAAATGATATCCTAGCTGATTGGAAAGAAATTGTGAAATTAAGTTTAGTATTGCACAGCTTTGGATTTCTGCAGTTGGTTGTTTCTTACTGACGTGGGTTTCTCACAGCAGGCCGTGGGAATGTCATCAGAGTTAGGATGTTTAGGACTAGGTCCTGTTGAGGTTCTTTTAATCTGTTCTGCTTTGCATGCTGATGCTACACTTAGCAAGAGATTTTCATACAAGGAGTCCCTTCTTTCTCTATACCCCCTACACCTCCCAGAGCAGTAAGTGTTAAGTTCCTCAGTTACTGCTAAAGCACTGTGGGATCAAGTCTCCCACCTAACCAGGGCATCCTGATAGGCAGGAGACTTCTCTGCAAATCATTTGTGTGAGCAAGCAGTACATGTTCAGAAACTGCTTTTCTGAGTGACGATGATACAGCAAAATGTAGCTCTCAAAGCAATAAAGGGAAGAGCAAATATGTAACTGTAATTCCCATTACTAGTGCATAACTTGTGCCTCTCTCTAGCAAGCAGGGTTAAAAACCCACATTTATTGGCAATTTCCTCTTCTCTTGAGGCAAAAAGCTGTACTTGCTCTAGTAATGGAACCTGGCTTTGTAGTGGGACTATGTAGCCTTGCTGCTCTGACATTAGTAAATTCTCCTAAACATTTATGAGAAACTCTGACATAGTAGCATGTTTAAAGCAAAGTGGAGGGGGAAAAGGATGAGATTTGTTGGCCCCTGCTTGAAATGATGTGCTGGCTTTCTGTGAATTATGCCGGCCATTGATGAAGAGTGCCAATGCAGTCGTATTCCTGGGGCTGGCTAGAGGAGGAAGAGGATGGTTTAATAACTGTGCAGCCACAGCATCTGAGAGGGGATTGTGCAGACCAAGCTGAATGCAATGCATATCTGCTTGTGTGACTATGTTTTTCTTCCTGGATCAGGCAGCAGTAGTAGTTACCTTTCTGTTAGTCAGCGTTAAGATGGGAAGAGTGTAATTGCCATCTGCAGGGAAGTTGTGCCAGCAGGGATTCTGGGGTCATCGTCTTAGGCATCCCGCTGTGTTGATCCCATGTAATCCCAAATGCAATGGTGTGTCTGAACTTTCAGCAACAAAACAGATTAGAGCTGGTGTTACCTACCAGTGTGTCGTAGTTAAAAAACACCACAGTGCTCCATGAAATAAGATTTAGTGCATTTGTGGTTTTCACATTGAAGGAATTTTGAAAAACTTGAATTCCTTAACCAGGAGAAGATGGGCAAGCAATTCTCTCAGAGTTCTACAAGCTCAGAACAGGGATGAATCCATGACAAGAGAAGTAAAACATTTTACCAGGTTTGCTCAGGGTCTGGATTTCTACATCCATAGGCAGGCACAATATGAAAACCAGGCTATCCTCCTCCTTCCCCTTGTCTCCTCGGCTGTCCTGTGAGGATTCCCAGGCTGGTGGTAGCTTTGTTTCTGTATCTTTGCAGATGAGCAGCACAGCCTGTCAGCATCACAAATGCATCCAGCTAATGCTGTCAGCAGTGCTAATGGGCTTTCCCAGTCTGAGCTGGCATCTCTGTCACTCTCTGAACTGTAGCCCTGTCTTTCCCTTTCAGGAGGTTTTTAAGGAGTGTCACATACCCTCCAAGAAAGCTGAGGCACTCCTTAGAGGGAAAAGCTGAGTTGGAAGAAGTTCTCTATAATGATGAGAGAAGCTTTTGCCCTGTGTTTGAAAGAACTTTTGGAAGCAGCTAGCACTTAAGCCCTGGTGACACTTCTTTGCCTGCACAGGCAGAGGTGTCAGGCAGTGGTCCAGGACAACGAGGCTGCCCTGACCTTGAGCTGGGCACTCGTCTGTCCTGTGCCACAAAGCTGCGTGCCAGCTCCTAGTTGTGCTCCCCAGCAGGGCTTTTCTGTCCTCTCTCAGCATTGCTGAGGGCCTAGATTTCCTTCTATTAGGCCCAAATACAGATTTTTCATGGTGAGAAATGAATGTGCAGAGGACCTTGTACTCCAGTTGTGCTCTTTTTCTGGTGCTTCAGCAAAGCTATGCTGGAATAAGCCCCTCTTTGTTCCTCAAATATTCTGTTGAAACAGAGTCAACAAATGAGTTGACATGTTAAAATACTGCATTTTCTTGCAGGCTAGGAACCAGGGCAGCCTTGAGCATGCTCTGCCCTCTGTCTCAGCCAGAGGGGACTTCTGTATATATGTATATATTGTTGTGAAAAGCCCCAAGAAAATGTTCTTGACCTGCATCACCTGATTTATTTTAACATGTGGCATATATATTTCTCAGTGTTACGGTGATGACAGAAAAGGAGCCTATGTTACATGAAGTAGCTCTATCCCCTCCTCTTTATTTTTCTTTATCTCTGTGTAGTAGCAATGTCATGATAACAATTTCAGCCTCTACTGTCTTCAGGAAATTGAGATCAAAAGACACGTTTCATTTCAACAAATGAAATATGAGCACTTTTTGTACACATACAGAGAAATCCTCTGCCAACAGTATAGAATCCAGCTGGACTGCTTGCATCAGGCACTGCCACAGATAGTGCATTAACTGCAGTTTATCCATACTTGAAAATTAATCTAGAGCAGGCATAGTGAGAGTTTAAAGTGTAGAAACTATTATCTGGCTAGCTGGGTCACTGCTGTTTTCTGTGGTCATTTTTGGTCTGCATGCATATGGGATTTGGGAATTGCTCCTTCAGGGAAATTCTCCACGTAGGAAGGCATCTGTCTCCTGCAAGACCACCTTCCCACGTAACACAGGTACTGCCATCGTGCTGCCTTGATGCTTTAGTTGTGAGCTTTTTTTTTGTCATGGTGGTCATTCCTTTGTAAAGGAGGGGATGCAATTAATTTGGGGTGAGATGAAAGGGAATCAGAAACTCCCAGGGCAGTCATTTGGCATCCTCTGCCCACAGGACGATTTGTCTTTCTTCCCACACATTCCTTGCAGCATTTCCTTTTCAAATAGGCATCACCCTCTCTTCCCACTTGTCAGTTGTGTTTCTGGATGCTGCTGATTGTTTGATTTCCTATTTTTGTCACTGTTGTTGGTGTTATTTAATTTGTGACTCAGCAAGTGCTGCCCATTTCTAGCCGGCATGTTGGCAGACTGGAGGGAAGGGATGCCATCCAGAGGGACCTTGGAAGGCTTGAGGAGCGCCTGTGCAAAACTCAGAGTTCAACAGGACCAAGAGCAAGGTCCTGCCCCTTGGTCAGGGCACCCCAGGCACAAATACAGGCTGGGCAGAGAATGGATTGAGAGCAGCCCTGAGGAGGAGGATTTGGGGGTGTTGGTTGATGAGAGGTTGGACATGAGTTGACAATGTGCACTTCTAGCCCAGAAAGCCCAATGTATCCTGGGCTGCATCAAAAGTAGCTTGGGCAGCAGGTCAGGAGAGGTGATTCTGCCCCTCGGCTCTGGTCTGTGACTCCCCACCTGAAGGGCTGTGCCCAGCTCTGTGGCCACCAGCATCAGGATGTGAACCTGCTGGAGCAAGTCCAGAGGAAGGCGATTAGATTATCAGGGCCTGGAGCACCTCTCCCTTGAGAGAGTTGTGGCTGTTCAGCCCAGAGAAGAGAAGGCTCTGGGAAAACCATGTAGCAAACTTCCAGGACCTAAAGGGGGCCTACAAGAGAGCCAGAAAGGGTCTTTTCACAAGGCCATCAAGTGTTAGGACAAGGGGAAATGGGTTCACACTGAAAGAGGGTAGATTTAGATGAGGAATAAATTTTTTACTGTGAGACTGGTGAGGCACTGGCTTAGGTTGACCAGAAAAGCTATGGCTGCCCCTGGAACTGTTCAAGGCCAGGATGGATGGGGCTTTGGGAAACCTGCTCTAGTGGGAGGTATCCCTGGCCTTGGCAGGGAGGTTGGAACTGGATGTTCTTTAAGGTCCCTTCCCCAAAGCAGTCCATGATTCAGTTCATTGCTGTTGTTCATGGCAGTGGTCAGGTAAGTGTGGCTGAAGAGGAGGGGGTTTGCTAACAGGTGACTGTAGAGCATTGCCTGTGATGGAGAAATGTGACTGCACACCCAGTGCCCACCGTTGTGTTTTGTCATGTCTGGTATTGCAGCCCTTCAGGCTGAGGTCACCAAATCTGTTCATTCTTTTTATAAACCCTTTCCATGTGTCTTTTCAAATACACTGTTTGCTCAGTCTGCCCTCTTCTGTACCAAGGTAATAAGTCTTTCTGATGTTTTTTCCTGTTGCAGTACCAATAGCTTTGCAGTTAATCTTAGTAAATTAAGTGGTGGGTGAAATGCATGACAGTCTCTTGGAGAAAACCTCATTTAATACCTTTTGCCCATCCTGTATTTTACACATTTAGGTGTTTAGCCACTTATAGATAAGTATCTTATAGTCTTTATGACTTGGCTAATTCAATACTATATAGAATGGTTCCAAGTGAAATTGGTGCATTTTTCCCCCCTACCTATTCTTCTAATACTAAGAATATTTTTTTAGAGGAAATACCTGATGCATGCAGCCTATGAAACCACAGTTACAATTAATTTCCTTTTGATATTTCTTTGCAAACCCTCCATTTTCTTGAAATGCACTTTGACACATGCCCTTGATCTCTCTGTGAAGCACTGCCCCTCCCTGAAAGGTGTTGGAGGCATTTACTGAAGAGATCCAATCCTCTAACGTATCATGTGCTTGCATAAACCTCATTACTGGCTTCAGACCCTGATGTTAATCTGCTTCAGCAGTTCAGAGGGTGGCAGATCCAACTTGGGTTGAGCAACAGCAGCAGACTTGAAAGACTTTCTCAGGCAACAAGTGCATGAATTGCACATTGGCACACCACTGTTTCTGCCAGGGGAGCGGGCTTGTCACATTCCTTGTCTGCACTCATTCACACAACTAACAGGCAGACTTATTATAAGAAGGACTAACTAACAACGTGAAAGTTTCATATTCACCAATGTGAAACCTCATAGTGACCACAGACACTGGTGTTGGCTTTGGCAATGCCACTGTGCCTTGTCCTGCAGTTATGGGATGTAACACAGACGACTTCGCACTGCACAGCCAGTGTTACAGACTGCAGAACCTGCTGGAGCCCAGCCCTCAGCACTCCAGGATGCTTTTTCCCTGCTTAAAGACCACCTTCCATCTTTCCCCAGATTGCGTTGTTCCATCTACATGTCCTGAAGTCAGGGCAGTCATCCTAACCAAACACCACCTTGGCGGGAGTTGTGGGTTTCCCCTTGTGGAGAATGTCACAGCTTTGTTTCCAATGTGTCTCTGTTTTGGAGGTAATGCTGGTTGTTTTTTCTCTCTCCCCTTCTCGTCTGTTGTTTGCAGATGTTAACGCAGGAGAACGAGTTCAGACCAATAGTGTAGCTACAGCATCAGCCTCCAACTCCACCTGAACCAGTACCAAGCAGCCAGCTGCACAGGAAAAATCACCAGTAATTTGAGTCTTGCTCAGCAACACTGGTCACATTTGGAAAGAAAATTAAAAAGAGGAAAAAAAAATCCAACAAAACAACAAACCAACCAACCTGTTCATTTTAGTGTTCAATTTTTTATTATTATTATTGTTGTTCTTATTTAACCTTGTAAAATATCTATAAATACAAACCAGTTTCATTGTATTCTCACTCTGCAGGGTGTCCGGGGCAGGGGACTAGGTGGGGGGAGGAGGGAAAGTGGAGCAATACAATACACCAATGTCTCCCCTCGACAATCTCTTCATGTTGGAAGTTTGCTGTTGTGTACTTCAGAACCAGGACTCTTGCCTCATACCCCCTCCCACAACAGAAAGAAGGAAAAAAACGAAACAAACAAATCCCAAACCTCATTCTCTGCTGAAGTTCTCTTTTTTTTTTTTTACCCTCTTTTTTTATTTTCTTTTTAAGTGAAGTTTCGGACTTTGATGTAGTGCACAGCTTGAATTTGGTCGGGAGCTTAGCAGGGGTCATTCAACAGAGCTCAGCGTTTCTTGTCAGCAAATCCATTTCCCAGGTTATCTGAAGAACTGCCCTGGCTCGGCACCGGGAGCGGGCGACGTGGTAGGAAAATAGTTTGCCATGGGGTTGGGGGGAGGGTTTGCCATGTGTCTAAGGCTTGAACCGCTAGTGGAAGCCTTTCATTTTAAAAATCAGTGCTAGTGATGAGGAAATCTGCAGCTTCATGTGGGGAAAGTCTTGCCCGAGTGGGTGATATATAATATAATACACACACATGCACGGACAGCAGCAGTCGGCTCTGCCGAGGCATCCCCTTTGCCCAGCTCCTGCTTTCCGTGTCTCGGGCCGGCTCCCAGCTTCAGCAGAGAAGAGCGGACGAACAAAATCCTCGGCAAGGGCAGGGGCCCAGCTGGTGGATGGATGTTAAGGGACTTTTTGGGAAGTGGCCACTGTGAAAGTGTGTTTGGTTGGGTTTTTTTCTCACCCCACCCCTCCTTGGCTCTTGATTTGAACAGACTTTTCCCTTTCCTAAGGTGCATACAGGAAAAGGACACCAGGGTTTATAATGTGAACTGTAACAGGCTACTGGTTTATTTTGTAATACTTTTTTTTTAACTGCAGTTTTAACTTGCAGGATGCCACAATTCTCTGATAGTTCTGATTTTAAATCCACAGGTAGAATCTGTATTTAATTTTCATCTTTTTTAACCTCTTGCTTTTTCTTTTTTTTTGATCTCTATTTATTGATGCGTGTTGCCACGTCGCCATTATGTCTTTACATTGGTAGAATGTTAAAATACACATCCGAATGCTCTTGATGGTAATTTGTACCTGCTGACTTGTAGGAAAGCTGGCTCTATATGAGTGTGTGTGTATATATATTATATAAATATATACATGTATACATAGATACAATACTGCTTTTTTTATTTTGTCGACGATCTTGAATCAGTCTGACTGAAGCGTGAGGTGAATGCTTGTTCTAGTCCATCAGTTCAGGGTCCAGGTTTCCTCCCTGCGACGGCGTGCGGTGCGAGCATCCACGTCTCTCTTCCTGAAGTCAAAGCAATATTCCTTGCGAATGGGTCAGGTGAGCGGCGGGATGCAGCCCCGGCGCGGCATCGAGACTTTCGGAGACCTGATCTTGTGGTAGGCTTGCGGTTGGTGTCCGCTCCAGCCTTATCCTTCTTCAGAGAAACTGTAGTCACCTTTGGTGCTTACCGAGCCGTTCCTCGACCTGCGGATCTCTAAGGCAAGCAGTTGCTTTTCGGGAACACGCGGAACCTCGTGTGGCCCGGGGGGAACCGGCAGTAGCGGCTTTGGAAGCTCGGCCGCCGCAGGGGCGGCAGGGGCTTGGTCACGAGCTCGGTGTGTTTCTTCTTGTACCTTTTATGCTGTTGACGTGGGATTTTTTGGAAACTGTCTCTTAGCAGCCCCAGAACTGATAAAAGCTCTGCCCTCTCCCTCCTGCCTGGCACGCGGTGGGTTTGGGGACGCAGAGGCTGATTGAAGAGGTGAGTGACCACCTACCATGAAACCAATAAACCCTCAAGTTATACCCCTCAGCGATTTGCTGTTGGGCACACACAAAAAAAAAAAAAAAGTTTTAAAGCTTTTTTGCATTCTGGCTGGCTGCAAAGGAAAGCACACCCACGTTGAGAAACAAGGCTTTCCAAATCCTTACCTGCAACTTAATAGAAAGGGCTGAAGAGCATCTTAATGCGTGCGCTCGGCTAGTCAGTGTCCTGAAAGGTAAGTGAAGGGGCTTGGTTGACCCAGTGATCCAAATTCATGCAGGAGACTCAAAAAGTAGGACAGTGGCAGGGTATGGATCTGCTGTATAGACAAGACTGCTGAAGCATTGGCCACGGGCGCTGTTATTTGGAGGCAGTAAATTACAGAGTCTTTAAAAAAAAAAAGTAATAAACATATATCGAAGAAAAAATGCTGCTTGTGCCAGGACATGTGGCTTTTCTTTTTCATTTTTTTGTTAAAGACTGGTGGAGGGGAGTCAGAGCGTTTCTCTCTGGTTTTGTGGCTGTGCCGGCGTCTGTGTGTGTCTCGTGTGTGTGTTAGGCTGGGGGGAGGGTCGGGGTGCCCCTCTGGTTTTATTTCTGTTTTCAAGGATCATAGCAGGATCACACACTCTTTTATACAAGTTAGATCCAGGTCTTTGGACAACCTTTTTTTGTAAATAAGAAAAAAAAAAAAAGAAAAAACACAGAAAAATAACAACAAAAAACAAAGCTCCTCACCAAATTCAAGCTTGTACATTATTATTTTTGATTGTTTTTGAATTTTGAGTTTTATTGTTTTGTATGTAAATATGTGGACCCAGGAACTGTTATTAATGAGCAAAAAGTTACCGTTCAGGGCAGTGATTCTGTTTAATAATCAGACAAAATGTAGACGAGCTTTTTAAAGCCATATAGTTTTAACTCTGTACAGTAGGTACCGGCCTGTATTATTGTAACAATAACTCTAGCGATGTATAGTGTATCTATATAGTTTGGAGTGCCTTCGCTTCCATGATTTTTTGAATTTTATTTCCCTTTTATTTTTTTCTCCTCCTTCTTTATTAACAATGTCTCCTACCCCAAACCCGCATCTTTGCTCCCCCCTCCCCACCCCACTTTCTAACTCTTTGAGTGCTGTAAGGTTTCGGTGATACCCTGATCAGTAGCGGAACGAAAAGAAACCATCTCCACCGTCATTCACTTCACTGGAGCCGCGGCTTTGTTCTGGGAGTCTTCAAGGTGCCCACGCTGCCCTCCTCCTCCTCCCGCTAGCAGCAGCTGGTTTCATTCGGACCCTTGCCCTAGCAGCCCGCTTAGATTTTGCTTGTGTCTCCCCTCAGCCCTGCGCCCAGGAGCATCCGGGCAGCAGCAGCTTCCAGGAGGCTCGGCCTTCCCACCCTCCCTGCGGCTGTGCCGGGGGCAGCGGAAAGGGCCCCCAGGGAGGGAAATCCCCACATCCTGCAGGGTTGCTGTGCTCCAGCCCTTGGGCTGCGGTGGGAGCGGGGGCATCGCTGTAGGAGACTGCTGCGGTGGTTTTTTCTGCCGGGAGGACTTTGTTCCCTTTCTTCTCCCTGTTTTTTTCCCCCACATCCTTCCCCGAAGTCACTTTTGTTTTCTTGAGATAAGTTTAACATGACTCTTGATTTCTTGTGCCCAGCACGAAGGCCTTGTTTCTAAAACTAGTTTGCTTGTGTTTTACTACCTTGTTAGTATTCCACATAAGATTGTCTTGAATGGGAAAACACGTAACTCTTTACCAAACCAAAGGTTGCTGTTTTATTTCGAAGCATCTCGTGTTCATTCCAGTGAAGCAGAGGCTGCACTTTCTTTCTGGTGACACGAAGGTCAGTGATGCCAAGCTGTTGGCGACAGTATCTGCTCAGAGCTGTCCTTCTCTTCTTTTACACTCTTTTGGGCTTCTTTTTTAACCCAGTGTGCTCTTGATGTGTCCTTTACATCCGCCCTGCCGTAGTGGGTCCCTGGGCCGGGCTGGATCACAGTCTGTCTCCCCCGATGGATGCTCCATCAAGACACTGGTGTTCTTTACTATTAAACTTATCTACCTTGCTAGGGAAAAAGAAAAAAAATTACCTGCAAAAGAAAATTGACTGGTAGAAGACCCCTGAACACTCTGTCCCCTTATTTCGAAGCCAAGCTTTACCTAAAATAATGGCAGGTGCCTACGACTTGCAACCTAAAATTCCCCCCAGTTTTCAGTACTTGGAAAAGCAGAAGTCAAGCAGCCTGTCAGACTCGTACTCCTGTACTAGGAACCTCAGCCACCGCGGAGAAAAAGGAAAAGCCGATGAGGAAAAGCACAGTAGGGTATTCGGTCCGGGCTCTGCCTTCCGGAGACTGCCAGCGGGTACCCCTGGGGTGGCAGCTGATTTCCACGGGGCTCTCGGCCGGTTCTGGTCGTAGTTGGCTTCGTTTTGCAACACTGCAATAATGGCAAAACGACAGGAAAGGAAAACAGTACCTAAGGGGTTAGCTCGAGAAAAGTAGCTTCCTTGTGTTGGTCTTTCTCAATTTATTTTTAATATATATATATAAAATATATTTATATATATATAATTTGCTTGCCTGTAAAATTTGCGTTCATTAATGTGTTGCTGATGGATCACTTGGGCCTGTACACACCAATTAGCGTGACCACTTCCATCTTAAAAACAGAAATCTAAATATATATATATTAAGGACTGTGGGTTGTATACAAACTATTGCATACACTTGTGCAAATCTGTCTTGATTTAAAGGAAAAGCAAAACCTGTATAACATTATTACTACTTGAATGCCTCTGTGACTGATTTTTTTTTTCATTTTAAATATAAACTTTTTTTGTGGAAAGTATGCTTAATGTTTTATTATTTCCCCCGCCCCATTCCCCTTGTAAATACGTTTTGTTCTGTGTGACTCGGTTCGGAAATAGTTAACTGGTACTGTAATTTGCATTAAATAAAAAGTAGGTTAGCCTGGAAATGAAATTTAAAAAATACCAAGTGTGTGGTCTTTATTTCAAAAAAATTGCCCTATTCTTCCCTCCTCCTCTCTCCCTTCTCTGACCCTTGTTCCTCACCCTCATGCCTCTTTCCACTCTGCGAGAATAGGTGGACGTGAATCTTTGTAATAATAAAGAAAAAACTCAAGAAATGAGCATGTTTTCTTAAATGAGCTGTGTTATTCCATGCTATTTTTAAAGAGATGCCAGCTTGTCTATGATACCGTTTGATTTGATGGAGAGAGGAACCCTGGGACATAAATATTTCAAATTGAAACCAACCAATCTTCCTTTACCGTCCACCTATAGATACAAACTTAAGAACCTGTGTAAACTGCTGGCTTTGAATCCTGCACTCATGGTTGTTTGGGTTGTTTTTTTTTAAATCATTGGATCCCATTAGTAATGTTATTTGGTGGTGATCTGTAAAGTTTGTCGAGACCACGTCCAGTGGACCGTTCCTCCAGCAAATCAGCACATAGCTATCTCTGAGTTGGGTTTCCGGTACTGGATAATGTATGTATTAAACATGACATGTCTATTAGCGCAAAAAGAAAAAAGAAAAAAAAAATAAAAAATCCTTTTTTGGGCTGGCTGACCTGGCCGAATCCATTCTGTCGCTATCCTAAAGGCTAGATGCGAGGTCATGTGACTGCTGCTTCAATAAAAACAAATTTATATTGCAAAGAGACTCCTCTTGCTTTGTTTGTGTGCCACGAGCCGCGGGTGTTCCCATGAAACCTCTGCTGGGCTCCGGGCTGGAGCCTCCACTCCGGAGGCCCTCCAGGACAAGTGGGAGCAGGGTGGGAAGGGGCCCCTGCTGGGTCCACACGGTGAGTGCTGAGTCAGGATCCCCTTGATCCGCTCCTGATTGCCAAGTGTGTGTCTGGGAGCTGTTCTGGCCCCCCTGGCTGCTGGAGCTGTGCCCCTGGGAGCAGGTGCTGCTACGCCCCGGCTCCCTGAGCACCTTGGAGCTTGGGTTGTGCAGCTCTGGGGGTGACAGGGCCACGTGGGCACCCAGCCTGGCTGCCCCAGAAGCAACACACTGAGTGGAGGCTGCTGTCCCTTCACTTACTCTGTCCCACAAGGTCACCAGGATTCTGGATGTATCCAACTCGTGCTGAGACTGGGACTGCTCTCCTCGGCCAGTCTGGCCCTGGCATTCAGACCTGCAAACGCATTGCTGCCAAAATTACAGCGCCTCTCTGGGTGAGTTTATTCATTTAAAGTTTGCCTCTGGTGGGAGTTCATCACAATCCCTGGTGATTTGGGGTGGTGGTCAGTGATCCTTGGGCACTTCTCTGGATGGACGTGCACTGGGACCTCCTGCCTCTTGTGACCTTCCCTCACCTGGAATGCAAGTTGTGGGCTCTCTTTATGCACTGTCTTTGCATGGGAACTCTCAGCTGCAGTCTCAGGTCTCTTTTCTGAATGTCAGAGCAAAATGAACAGAACTCGAGCACCTCATAACTTCTTGCTAAGCTGACTGGAAGGGGATCTTCAGCTCCTTCACAGCTTTGTGATGTTTCCAATTATATCTCCTCTACAGTTGTTTTGAACACCCTCTTTAAGCTGCAGTACCAAAAGCAGCCAGAGGTTCCCTACAGTTTTCTCCCCAGCGTCAATGAAGGCACTGGAGAGCACGTGGTAGCTGCTGCCTGTCTGTCTCCTTACCTGAGGATTGCACTCACCCTTCTGCACGGAGGCTGCAGCTGTCCAGTTTATCCAGCTTGCCCTCCCATTGTAACTCCTGCAAGCATTGCCTGTGGGACTGTTGCAGTTTCGTATCGTGTGCCAACCATCCTTCTAAACGATGTAATGAAACACCTTAGCATCAACAGCCTGTCCTTGCACAACCTTCCAGGGAGCATCATTCTGTCACTCTGTGGGAAAACACTTTTTGAGACCCATCTGCAAACCAGGGTCAAATCCACTTAGCTGTCGGTCACCAACGCTTTGGGATGATTTAAAATGCTAATCCGAGAGCAAAGCAGCACCGAGCTGAATGCAGAACAAGAGTCTGCTCCACTGATGTGCTTTGTCTTTATCGAGCGAGCTGCCAGCCATCTGCGTTGGAATTAAAAGTCGGTGTCAAGGCTCCTGGCACCATTTGTTATCTGGAAGGTGGCAGCTTTTGGGCTGCTGGTGGGAAGGTCCAAGTGGCTTTCTGTGTGAGAAGAGCCACAAAGAAGGAGGAGGAGGGAAGCGAGCCGCAAGCTGCAGAGGGGAGAGAAGAGCACTGCAGTTTGTCTGAGGCACCACGTCCAGTTGCTTGGAGACGGCGAGCCCAGCAGATGGTACCAACCTCACCAGCCAGCCTGGAACCTCGCTTCCCTCCCTGGGCTCTGGACGGGCTTGGCTGGGCCCTTGTCCTGTCATCCTTTGCTAGTCTTGAAGGGTGGTGCTGTGGCTTTGCTAAACCAGCTGTGCACAAAGGCTGCAAGGCCCAAATGCTCCCCAATCCAAGCTCTGGTAGGAAAGGAAGGTGTGTAGGTGTCAATGCCCCACTGGGCATGACAGGAAAGCCGGGCTCTGTCTGGGTGTGAGTTTGTACGATGTGAGGCTTTGGGGCTCTGGTCTCTGACCCCCAAAACAAACTCCTGCTGGAGCTCATCTCAGGTGAGAGTACAGGTGAGTGCTCAGGGCTGTAAGGGAGAGCTGGACTTTACAGCTTTGGCCAGTGCAGGAATGCAGCCTGGATCTTGCTGCACACCCAGCTAAATATCTGGCACAGATATTTCTTGGTGTACCCTACTGCTCCCTGAGTCTGCTTGCAGTCGGGTAGGTGTCCCATGCAGTCAGTGGAGTTAAAGCCTTCTCTTCCAGGAATTCCCTGCTCTCTGCATCACCCCTCACTGCTCACATACTCCAGAGGTAAGGCTGGATCCTGCAGGACAAGTGGGGAATGAACAACCTCTTCCCTTGTGGAAGCTCTGTGTGGCTGCAGCCGGGCGTTTCTGACCTGAGAAACTGGGGTGGCTGTGCCCTGAGAGCAGTGGGGCAGTGTGCCCAAGGCCAGGGCTGGCTGCAGAGTCCCCCTGCTTGCTGCAGAGTGAGAAAATGTGGCTGTGGGCAAACAAGCCCTGTCCCCAGGCAGAGCTGCCTGGCAGAGCACGAGCACCAGTCCCAGCAGAGGAGCCTCAGGCCCAGGGAACTGAGAATGAAATGGATTGCTAAGCAGAGACATTGGTTGGGGGTTTTTTCCCCCTAAGTTTCTAAAAACTGGAGGGCAGCAGGAGTTGAAGCACGACTGTTCCTTGTCACTGGCTGCTTGACCTCCCTGTGCTTTACCTCACCTCCAAGTGCTGAGCAAGTTTCTAAAAACTGGAGGGCAGCAGGAGTTGAAGCACGACTGTTCCTTGTCTTTGGCTGCTTGACCTCACCTCCAAGTGCTGAGTAGTCACAGGGTCCAGACACCTGCTGCTGACAGGGGGATGTGTGGCAGGTCCTGCCAGAGGGACACGGGGGCTGCAGGGAGCGAGGCAGGGTCAAGTGTGTGGTGGGAGCAGCACAGGAGCTTGAGAAGAAGCAAAGGGCATTCCCACCCCCTCATGAGATCCCATCATCACTTTCCAGAACTCCCCTGCTGCAGCCAGGTGGGGGTCGGTCTCCTCTCCCAGGTAACAAGCGAGAGGACAAGAGGAAACGGCCTCGAGTTGCACCAGGAAAGGTTTACACTGGATATTAGGAAAAAAAATTCTTCATGGAAAGGGTTATCAAGCCCTGGAGCAGGCTGCCCAGGGAAGTCACCCACTGTCCCTGGAGATACCTAAAAAGATGTGGCACCTGGGGACATGGTTTAGTGGTGGACTGGCAGTGCTGGGTTAATGGTTGGACTTGGTGACTTTAGATGTCCTCTACAGCCTAAACAATTCTATAATTGTTTCTTCTGGCATAACAGCAGCCATGCCCTCCTCCTCCCTCTGCAGCTCATTCCTGTAACCAAATCCTTTGCCAAGCCAGAGTGCTCAGGAGGAAGATGGTGCTTACTGGAAAAAACCAGGTACTTTGAGAGCGTTTTTACTCAAGGAGATCATTGACGTTGTTTGGAATGCTGCCATAAGTTAGCAGCCTTTGGAAAAGGGACTGCCCAGCTGGGCACTCTTTGGACCATCTCAGTTACACCTCTTTTAGGATTTTAGTTTCACAGCACCAGGCCTAGGAAGAGGTTGGTCAATGGAAGCTGTTTCTGCTGGAGACAACAGATTTGGGGCCTGCACAACAATGAAAAAATGGTTTGCATTTGGCTGGAGGCAGAAAAATTATGTTGGCAGGCAGAGCGAGGCTTCAATTCAACAGGTAAGGAACCAACAGGGTGTTTGCAAGAGGCTCTTACTGGCTCAGTAACAAACAAAAGGCAGATTCTTAGGATCAATCCTGCAGTAACCCATGGAGAGAGCAGCAGATGCAGCTTCCAAGTCTCTACCACCTTTGTCTCACTGCAAATGGGCACCTCAGGTCACTGCACACTCCCAGCCACTCCCAAGGACAAGGACCAGCATTCCCAGCACTGACTGAGGAGCTCCAGGATGGCCAGGAGTGCAGCTGCCATGCAAGCTCCCCACGATGGGCACCTCAGGTGCACTGCACACTCCCAGCCACTCCCAAGGACAAGGACCAGCATTCCCAGCACTGACTGAGGAGCTCCAGGATGGCCAGGAGTGCAGGCTGCCATGCAAGCTCCCTGCTGGGGGAACTGGAGGGGATAAATCCCATCTGGCCAGGCTCTGCAGTGGGTCCAAACTGCTGCAGACAGGAGTGCAGCTGCCATGCAAGCTCCCCACGGGGGGAACTGGAGGGGATAAATCCCATCTGGTCAGGCTCTGCAGTGGGCAGCTGCAACAGTGGGTGCTGGCAGGAGCAGCCACAGCTCTCAGGTCCACTGGGGATGCTGTGCTGAGCCAGGCAGTGCATGTGGGTACAGGCAAGCAGCCCTGCAGGAAGGAAAGGGGAATAGGACATCGCTTCCAAGTGCTACTTGAAGGATTGGGATGTGGCGCATAGGAGGAGGCCAAGAGAAGTGGCCTTGACTCCAGCCAGAAGTGGAGGAAAAGGTGTGTGGGGTTGATGCAGCGTGTGGGAGAAAAGGAGGAATGAGAGGAATGAATGATATGATCAGAGCAGAGAGCTGGAGCTGCCCTGCTCCGTGGGTTTCAGCGCACACCCTTGCCCTCGGCCTGCTGGTGTTTTCTGTCTCGTGCAAACAGTGGCTGCTGAGATGCTTTCCTTGCCAGTTCTGCTCCAGGCAGTGGCTGGGAGGAGAGGTGGGAGCCTTGGTCCAGGGTGGTCCCGGGAAAATTGAATTTACTAATCCAGGTGTACACATTCTGTCTCAGGGAGTTGGCAGTTTTGGCAGGTGTTCAAACCAATTCCCACCTCTCTGGTGGGATGGAAGGCAGGCACGGGAAAGAACAGCTCCCCATCCAAGCCCAGGCCCAATTCTGGAGGGCACTGTGGTGAGGAGGCTGGATGCCAGCACAACACTGATTCACCAATCATTAAAACACAGGAAAAGTTGCATGAGCAGGACTTTGGTGAAAGCAGGTAAACAGGACTTGGAGGAGATAGTCACTAATAATGCAGCTGGGCCTTGTTAAAAGCCTTGAGCACGTGAGGACCATACTTGTAGGGTTAATCCCACTCTCCTAAAAAATGAAAAAAATTGGGTGAGGGCTGAATTGAGCCCA